GCTTGCACTTCAGTTGTATGTTGTTGACTCATAGGAACCCTATACAGGACAGAGTAGAACTGCCTGACAGGGTTTCCAAGGCTATGATCTTCATAGGAGCAGATATGTTTCTACCAGGGAGTGACTGGTGGGTTCTAACTGGTGACCTTTCTGATAGAATCCAAGTGCTTAACCACTGTAACACCAGGACTCCTTTTATATAAACCCACTTAATTCCCACAAGAGAATGCACTGAAAGAAGAGATAAATGATTATATGTGTTTGAACTACAGGAGATTTGAGAAAATGGAGTAATATAATGGGCTAGATTTTGGTAGATCTTGAGTTCCTTACTTTTAGTTTAATCATTTATCAGATGGGAAGGCTGGATTGGAGAAGGAATACACCAGAATTAGAACAGTTAGAAGGATGCTGGAATAGTCAAGACTCTGAACTGGGGCAGTTCATTAGAAACCAAAAAAGAAACCAAACCAGTTGCTGACTCATTGTGACCACAAGTGTGGCAGAGAAGAGCTGTGCACCACAAGGTTTTCAACGGCTGATTTTTTATAAGTGGATTAAACAAGCTTTTCTTTCAAGGTGCTCTAGGTAGACTTGAACCTCCGACTTTTCTGTTAGTAGTCAAGCGTGTAAATAATATGTACCATCCTGGGATGCCATTAGAAATGAAAAAAAAAAAAAACAAAACCAGGAAAGTTTTGAGAGTTCAAAAACAGAACCAACTAAATTTTTTTGTCTTATTAATTAATTTGTTCCTTCATTTATTCGGTCATTCATTCATATCCTCATTCAACAACTGTTTGTCAGGGTTTTAGATGAGCCAGACACTGTGCTAAGTAACAATTTTGTAAAGAAGAGAAGAAAAAAAAGAATTTGAAAATGACTCTTCCCCAAAATTGGGGTATTAACAATTGCTTGGCTCTGTAGGATAAGCACTGGACTGCTGACCACAAGGTCAGTGGTTCAAATCCACCAGCCACTCCTCAGAAACCCTACACAGGGGGTTGCTATGAGTTGGAACCGACTTGATGGCACAACAACAACCACTGCTCAGTGATCCAGAGTGACATGCATCCATCCATCCTCCCCGCCTCTCCCTGTCTATTCATCTGATACTTACTCAGCACACTCTGTATCAGGCATGTACTATATAAAAGTCTGAAGCAACTCCAGAAAGAATGAAAGGAAAAAAGAAAGATGGCTATCTTTATTCCTACACAACTGGGAATGCCTTCTTTCTAAACTTCCATTTCTTTCTTGGTGGTCTGGCCATAGGGCCCAGTACATGGTGGTAAACCACCAAACTGCTGGAACAGTGTAGGTATTCTTAGTCATCCACATGACGAGAGGACCTCCTATTTAATTTCTAAATGTATGCCCTGATTTGGCATATTTTAACAAAAGCAAAACATTATACTAGAAAGGTATCTAATAGAATTCTCAAGTGTCGATTTGGGTAATAGCATCTAAAAAACATAAGTAAAGAAAAATAAGCCACAAGGCACCGAAAGTAATAGCATAAACATACTCCAAGAATATCGAACCTAGTCTAGTTGGTAAATTCGTCTGAGCCATCTGATTCTATTGCCTTTCCATTGTTAACTGGAGCTCACAGAGCATACAAGTCCAAACCAGACTCAAGTTCTCCATATAAAATTGAAGTTAAAAATGTGCCTGTTCTCATCAAATTATTTCTTTTACATTAGATTTTATTGGCATTTAAATTAACACCCTACCCTTGGCATATAAGAACTTGCATGTACTTGAAATAATCTGTTGACGGTGTTTAATTTTTTTGTTTTAATAGAAATGATCAGAAGCATACATTAGTCATGGCAAATGTTTTGGAGGTAAACCAAGGTGCATAATACTTTGGAACGTATCAAACTGATGTAGCTTGCAATTTTAGAACCAAAAAAATTGAAATAACCGCAGGCATCTTAGGAAGACATTTTTAAAAAGAACCAAATAGTAGATAGTGAAGGATGCATAATATCTAGACTGGCTCCATAAAGTAATAATGAAAAGACAATAGCCACAAAGCAAAACGCTTCTTATTGGTTCTATTAGCTGGTGGTTTTTCAGAAAGCACCAGAAAGTGGTCAGGATTTAGTCTTAAAACATGTTGTTATGTGCTGTCGAGGCGGTTCCAACTGTATAGGGTTTCCAAGGAACAGCGAGCTGGTGGGTTTAAACGACCAACCTTGCAGTTAGCAGCTGAGTACTTTAGCCACTGAGACACTAGAGCACTACATAAGTGATCAATAAAGTCAATAAAGTGTGGCGCCATAGGATAAGCACTCAACCTCAAGGTCAGTTTGAACCACAAGGTAGACAGTACAAACTCACCAGCTACTCTTTGGAAACCATGTGTAGGGTCTGCTATGAGTCAGAACCGATTCAACGGCACTTACCAACAACAATCTCAATTTAATCTATGCTGTTATTAGGTGCCATCCAGTCGAATTTGACTCACAGAGACCCTATAAGACAGAATTATTGCTGTTGTTGTTAAGTACCATCGAGTTAATTCCAACCCCTACAGGGTTTCCAAGAAGCAGCTGGTGAGTTTGAACTGTTTCCTTGGAGGTTCAAACCAACTTTGCAGCCCATAGTACAGTTGAACTGCCCTAACAGGGTCTTCATGGCTGCAATCTTAGGGAAGCAGACCGGCAGGCCCTTTTGCCCACGTCTTTCTACCATGGAGCCATTCACTGGTGGGCTGCAAGAGTCAACCTGTAGGGCAGCTGAGCTCTTTAACTGGTTAAATGTATCAACAGGGCCCCTTCATGTTATCCTATAGGTAAAGTCCTTTGAAGGTAGGAACTATATCCTTCAGTGTCCTAGGCACCTGACCTATGAGCTAAAGCCTTCGATTACATTGAAGTGTTATTTTGCTTGACTCAGTGCAATGCAGGATCTCAGAAAGATCAAAGATAGGAGTCCAGAGGGAGGGAATGACAGGAAGTGGGAGGAAAATTTCAGTTACAGCCAGACCACGTTGCAAAAACCCTCGGAGACCATCTAACCACCCTCTCAGGGTGGGAAACAAAAACAAACGGAGCTGTCTGACCAGGGCTTGAGTAAGGCACATGAGGGCCCTAAACACTGATAATCTGTGGGAGCCCCTCCTCTACTTACTCACATATTCAGGTGGAATATGTGTGAGTGTGTATGTCTTGTATATATGGTATGTGTGGGTGTGGGGGGGGGCAGGTGTGTGTGTGTTAGCTATCCATTATGTAACATCTTTAAAAGTGCAAGAAAATGAGGGAAATAAGAAAAAAACTTGTCCATTTTCTACTAATCTTGAGAAACCAGAGCCCAGAGGTGGATTAATATGCTTTTTCTCTGACTCAGTGGTGATTTATCAACATCCCCTATGAAAACAAGGGATGCAGTGGGGACTTAGTGGGAAGAAATGGTAGGGTATTTTTATGTACTCAATTGTGGAAAATATTTTTCAAAGAGAAATGTGTAGATATTCATAAACATACTGGATAAGGTTCAGAGTGAATGATAAGAGTCACTAATTTCCTCAAGAAATTGTTCAATTTCCTTACACAGAGATACATAAATATTCTGATAAAATATAAATGCAATATTCTGTAAAAGCTCTCTGTTGCTTTCTTACAAGACAAATTTAGAAACATACTCATTATTGCAAAACATACACATTTGCACAGTACATAAACATTTAATTTTGTGTCCTAAGTGTCTATTGGGAGCATAGTAGCGCCATACAATAAGCACTGGCTGTGAGCCATAAATTCTGCAGTTCAAGCCCATCAGTCCCTCCAAGGGAGACAAATGAGGCTTTCTGCTCCTGTGAAGATTTAAAGCCTCGGAAACCCTATACAGGGTTGCTATGAGTGGAAACCGACTCAATGGTACTTAACAACAATATGCTTAATATTTCCTTCATTAGTATATATAGAATAATAGCAAGCACTGTGTCCCATGGAACAGAGCATAAAAATAAAATATACTTGATACATAAATGATAACTTTTCATGCTATTTAAGTATTAATATTGCCAGTATTGGGGGGCCTTTGCTATGTTAAAATGATATTATTATCCACATTGTTGTTGCTGACTGCTAAGTTGGTTCCGACTCATAGTGACCCTATATATGATTTCCAAGGAGCAGCTGGTAGGTTTGAACCTCCGACCTTGCAATTAGCAGTCCAGTGCTTATCCTATAGCACCACACCAGGACTATCCATGTTAGTATTATGTTAAATATATGCTAGACTGTCCATTTGTATGTCAAACATATTTTAATTAAAAGTTATATATATTATTGTTTAGAAAACTTAGCCTATAACTCTGTCTATAACTTACATCATTAAAAAGTAACTTGATTGAGATCACTGTAATGGACAATAAACTCAAGTTCCCTCATTTTTGTGATTTATCTGGGACTAGAATGCCTCTGATTGTTGACCAGAGAGTACTCTTGCATTTGTATCATGGCAAAAAGCATTGCTGGCCTTCCTGGTTGAATCAGCAGGCATGGATGCACAAGATGGTTCTCTCGAAATGGATCAGAAACCTGGTATCTATTATTAACATGCCCAGTAACTGCTCATATTGGATCCAGTTGCATACTGGGTGAATGCAAACAGTCTACCCCCACCTCTTATTTATTACAAAGAAATACAAGAGACCCATCGAGATAAGGAATTTCAATTATATGTCGTAGACAGATGTCAAGGAATGTGTAGGTGCCCCATTTCACGGCGGAAACCCTCGTGACCTTGTGTGACTCTATTTCTGGCCAGCACATTCTCATGCATTGGAACTGGTATCAATCTTATTTAGTGCCCTGCCAAGGCCTTCCCATTGTGGCACGTGCTTTTCCTTATAATCTTGTCCGCTTGGCATACATGGGACTTTGCTTTGAGCAACTGATGCCTCCGTTTTGTTGATGCCCCAAGAAGCGCTTATCTTTCTTACGTGGTAATCTATCCCTGTGTCTGATATTTGTGACTCTTACCTTCGACGCAGATCCTCAGCCACTGCTGCCCGGCAGCTGAACAAATAGGCTCGGAGTGATTTTAGCCGCTGCCGCAGGCGTACCACAGCAGCCAGCGGCTCAGCGTGCAGGTACAGCATAGGGTTCTCCTGCTGAATGTCAATCAAAGGCTCCTCGTATACATACTCCAGAAACTCTTTGGCCTGCTTAGACACCTGCAAAACAAGATTCCTCAATCAGTTCTGGTGAATTGCTCCACTTTCCATGCCTATTCCAAATAGGAACCACAGCTAAATTGTCAAAATATTATTATTAGTTTTTGAACACAGTCAATGAAAAACTCCATAGTTTAAATATAAGACTTGACTTCTCTTTCCAGAAACTCTTCAACTCATAAAAGCGACCTTGATATGAAAGGGAATTATTTAATTTTGTATCTTGATTATGGTGATGGTAGTAGTTACAGGAATCTATACAAGTGATAAAATGATACACAACTATAGAGATGCATTGTGCTCTTGTCCATTTCCTGGTAGGATCTTGTACTATAGTTACCTAAGATGCTCCCAATGGGGGAAACTAGAGGGGAGGTCAGCAAGACCTCTATGTACTACTTTTGTAACTCCCTATGCATTTTTAATTATTTCAAGATAAAACATTTTATTTTAAAAAGGAGTTTCTTGTTGTTTTTGTTGTTGTGAAGTGCCGTTGAGTCGATTCCGACCCATAGTGATCCTGTATAGGGTTTCCGAGGAGCAGCTGGTGAGCTTGAACCACCGACCTTGCAGTTCAAACAGCTTTGCAGTCTGACGCATTAACCCAATTTAAGACCCTCTGAGTAGCAATGCTGACTTTTAAAATATGCATGTATTTACACACACAAACATAAGAATGTCTGTATCTATCTATCTATCTATCTATCTATAAACACTTTTAAAAACTAGTCATGTAGAGTTTCTGAGGAGCAGCTAGGGGGTTTGAACTGCTGATGCTGTGGTTAGCAGTCCAGTGCTTATCCTACAGTGCCACACCAGGAATCCAGGTAGGGCATACACATTACAAAACTAAAAAGGAATAAGAAGTTATTTTTAAAACAAAAAATTTGACTGAATAGAAAATAGTGGCCTGAAAGGTTTTTTGTTAGAACAAATCTGAACTTGGACAGATGTCACCCAACATATTCACTCAACACTCTACATCCACTTCTTTTTTAGTTTCAATCATTTTATTTGTATATGTTAAAGTACAGTTTTTAAAAGTGTAACTAGTTTCATGCAGAAACAAGGTCTACTCCATACTACCAATAACACCAATGCAGCATAGTGATGGTTCAGTATCAGATAAAAAGAATAAATAACCTAAATATAAAAACGCTAAAATACTAGTAACATCTACATCCCCAGCTGAGTAATGAAGACAAGACTATGAAAGTTGATGATAAAAAGTCATCCCCATCAGTAGGAATAAATACTATGTCAGAAGCACAATGCATCAGAAATACAGAAGTCGTTTGAACAATGCCTAACAGGCAGGTAATGTGTGAGGAGACTTTACATTCCAGTTCACTGATACTGAGAAGTGGATTGGCTGGTGATGCACAGAGAGTTGGCTGTTTCTATTTATAGAAGGTAAAACCTCTCCACTGTGTCTACCAAAACCTCTCCAGTACTGGGAACAAGACTTGAAGCTCAACATATAAAAAAGTAAAATTTCATTTATTAAAAGGAAAATTTCAAATCCATTTTTTCATGTTTTAAACTAAAAGCTCATTGTTGTTGCTGCTGTTAAGTGCTGTTGAGTTGGTTCTGACCCAGAGCGACCCTGTATACGGCTTCTGAGGAGCTAAACAGGATATAGTTTCTAGCCTCAAAGGGTTCACTATTTAGTATAACAGATAAATATTTAGAACAAAAACTGCAGGTAGCATGTCAGCTGCTATAGTGGAGGCTTGGATGAGGCCCACAGGTAGTTTAAAGGAAAGAGAAATCAGCTCTTCTGTGAGGAGCACAAGGACCAGTAAAGGTCTCTCAAACCAACTAACACTGGATCTAGGTCTAGAAGAGTAAGAAATTCATATGATAGACAAGAACAGGGCAGAATACACTACACTAGGCAGATACAACCACTGCAAACCCTCAAAATATTCATGTAAATTAAAAAGTATAACTATTGTGTATCGATTAAAAACTTGTTGTTGTTGTTGTTAAGTGCCATCGAGTCGGGTCCGACCCATAGCGACCCTGTACAGGGTTTCCGAGGGTGTAAATCTTTACGGGAGTAGAAAGCCTCATCTTTCTCCCGCGGAGCGGCTGGTAGTTTCGAACCGCTGACCTTAAGGTTCGCAGCCCGATTCGTAACCACTACGCTACCAGTTATACACATTTAAATTCAACATTTTAATCTTCTTTTATGGTAAATTTTAGGAATTCTGGTAGTGTAGTGGTTATGAGTCAGGTTAACCTCAAGGTCAGCAGTTCAAAACTACCAACCATTCCACAGGAGACAGATGAGACTTTCTGCTCCCGTAAAGATATAAAGCCTTGGAAACCCTTTGCAGGGTCAATGAGCGAAACTGACTCCAAGGCACACCTCCACCACCACCATTTTAAATCTTACACAAAACTTTGTTCTTTATAGAAATGCAAACAAAAGCATCAGTTTCTTCTTTCTAATAAATAAAAGTTTCATTTTTTTCCCTTACAAGCAATTTTTTTGAGGAGCTAAATAGTAGAGTTAATATTATGACTATGGCTAGATCTAGGACTTCATTTAGTGTTAAGGTTATGGTTAAGACTAGGATTAGTGTCAGGGCTAGATGTAAAAGCTTGGTCTAATTTTAGGGTTGTTGTTGATGCTCTTAGGCATTGTCGAATTGGTTCTGACTCATTTTGACTCTATGCACAAAATAACAAAAAATTTTGCACAGTCCTGTGTCATCCTCACAATTGTTGCTATGTATGAGCCCATTGTTGACCCTACATTTTGCCAAGCATGATGTCCTTCTCCAGGAACTGGTTCCTCCTAATAACATGTCCTAAGTATGAGAGATGATGTCTTACCATCCTGGCTTCTAAGGAGCATTCTAGCTGTACTTCTTTCAACACAGACTTGTTTGTTCTTCTGGCAGTCCATGGAACTTTTAATAAAGTCTTCTTCAACACCATAATTCAAATGCATCGATTATTCTAAACTCTTCTTTATTCATGGTTCAACTCTCACTTTCATATGAGGTGACTAAAAATACCATGGCTTAGGTCAAGTACGCTTTAATCCTTAAACTGATCTTTGCTCTTTTAATACTTAAAAGAGATCTTGTGCAGCAGATTTGTCTAACACAATACTTCATTTGATTTCTTGACTGCTGCTTCCATGAGTGTTGACTGTGGATCCAAGCAAAATGAAGTCTTTGCCAACTTCAATCTTTTCTCCATTTATCACGATTTTTTACTGATCCAGTTGTGAGGATCTCTGTGGGGTTTTTTGTTTTGTTTTGTTTTGTTTTGAACATTAAGATACAGTCAATACTGAAAGCTGTAGAACTTGATCTTCATCAGTATTTTAAGACCTCTTCGCTTCCAGCAAGCAATGTTGCATCATCTGCATATCACAGATTGTTAATAAGTCTTCCTCTGATCCTGATGCTAAATTCTTCTTCACATAATTAGATTATTTGCTCGGCATACAGACTGAATAAGTATGGTGAAGAACACAAGAATGGCATGCACCTCTTCTGATTTTTAACCATTCAGTGTCCCTTAGTTCTATAATAACAACTGCTTCTTGGTCTGTATACACGTTCCTCATGAGCACAATGAAGTGCTGAAATATCCATTCTTTGCAATGTTATCCATAGTTTGTTATGGTCCACATAGTTGAAAGCCTTCGCATAGTCAATGAAGCACAAGTAAACATCTTTCTGATGTTTTCTGCTTTCAGCCACCAGCAATGATTTCTCTAGTTCCATGGCGTCTTCTGACTCCAGCTTGAATTTCTGGCAGTTCTGTCAATGTACTGTTGTTAGCATTTTTTAATTACCCTAAGCAAAATTTTACTAGCATGTGATACTAGTGATATTGCTTGATGATGTCCAGATTCTTTTGTGTCTCCCCTCTTTGGAATGGGCACAAATACGATTTTCTTTCAATCAGTTGGCCAGGTAGCAACTTTCAAATTTCTTGGCATAGCTGAGCGAGTGGTTCCATTGCTCCCTCAGTTTGTTGAAAGATTCCCATTTGGATTCCATTAATTCCTGAAGCCTTCCTTTTTAGACAATGTGTTCATTAAAGCTTGGACTTCTTCTTTCAGTACCATTAGTTCTTGAATCATCTGCTACCTCTTGAAATGGGTCAACATTCACCATTTATTTTTGGCACAGTGACTCTGTATTCCTTCCATCTTCTTTTGATGCTTTCTGCATCCGTCAATATTTTGCCCATAGAATCCTTCAATATTTCAAGTTGAGGCTTGAATTTTTTTCTTCAGCATTTTTGAGAAATGCTGAGTGTGCTCTTCTCTTTTGGTATTCTAACTCTAGGTCTTTGTTTTAGGGTTATAGTTAGGTTTATGTTTATTTACTTATTTAAATGTATTTGATTTCCTTTTCATTTGGAAGTTCTGTAATTACATTATTCCCTCTTTTTGTTGCATTTTTTGTTGTTGTTGTTGTTGTTCTTGTTGCAAACTGGTATCTCTGGTTCCCTATTTTCAGTCTTGTAAATTTGCTTTTCTTTTTTACACTTCCATATCTGGGTTGAGTTCTGGGTGATACTGTTATGTATGTTAGTTCTCTGTCCAAAAACTCCCTTTAGTACTTTGTGTAAGGTTGGTCTAGTTTTTATAATTTCTATTTATTTGGAAATGCCCTACTTTTACCATCATATTTTATGGGCAATTTTGCTGGTTATGTGATTCTTAGTTGGTAGTTATTTTCTTTAGAGTTTTATATATGCCATCCTATTGTCTTCTTGCCTGCCTGGTTTCTTCTGAGAAATCAGAGCTTTTTCTTACTAGTTTTCCTTTGTAGGCAACTTTTTGTTTTTCCTGGGCTGCTCTCAGGATTCTGCCTTTGCCTTTGGTCTTGAAAAGTCTGATTATAAGATGCTTTGATTTTCTTTTGGGGTTTATCATGTTTGGAGTTCATTCAGTTTCTTAAATGAATATCTTCTCATCTTTCATGTTAGGAACGTTTTCTTCCAACAATTGTTCTTCAATTTTT